TACCTTCTGCACGTTCATCTATCTGTCTGTCTGTCTGTGTGTTTTCTTTTAGTATATATAGTTGTAATTGCCTCATTTCTCCTTCCTATCAAGAAACAACATTCTTGATTGACAGAAAATTATTTTAATCTAAATCTGCCATTTCAGAGATTCACAGTTAATGTTTAGCGGTCAATGTTTCCTAATACTGCCATCTAGTGGGAGCATTTACATAGTATCAGTATTTTTGATATTTTATGACACGGCGCGTGCGCGAACTCCACTTCCGTGACACTCTTGTCCAGGTTTCGTTTTCGTCGCAGTTTGAGGTAATTCTCTCTTAATGTACTTTATATGTCTGTTATCAGTTTGTCTTATTTGACCCTGTTGTTTTAAAGTTCTGTGACAGTTTGACATATCTCTAGCTCGAGTTTTGTGACGAAGCTGAAGTTCGTTTCCATTTAATTTTTCACTACCTTCCGCCGCATCTTTAATCGACTCAAGTTTAAAAACTACTACACCCAGACACTTCAAACCTGGACTAGATTATTCTCCTCTTCAAGCTGGATATTTAAAACCATGTTTGTGATTTGTGAAACTTTTTCTGATTTGTGAAACTTCAAAAAAGGGCAATTGTTGCCATTTTTTCCGGTCTCAATCACACAAGACCTGCTCTAATTCCAAAACACCTAGAATATTCAAACCTTTACTCGATTATTCTGCTCTAATAGCAGAATATTTAGAACCATGTTTGGGATTTGTGAAACTTTTGTCTGATTTGTAATAAAACTTCAATAAAGTTTGATTTTACAGCTTTTTTTGCATCTGGGTTGCACTAGAACTGCTCCAGCTCCAAAGCTACAACACCTAGACCCTTCAAACCTGCACTGGAGTATTCTGCTCTAATGGAAGAATATTTAAAACCATGTTTGTGATTTGTGAAACTTTTTCTGATTTGTGAAACTTCACTAAAGATCAGATTACTATTCACACTTCCATGCAGTTTTTTTTTCAAATTAAATTCTAATTCAAAACCTCTTTATTAATTCCAATGGGAAATTAAATGTTGGTGTAACTAATTAATTCTTCAAAGAGTTACTGTAGATGGTGATGGCTGTTGGAAGGAAAGATCTTTTGCAGCGGTCTGTTAAGTGAAGTTTCACAAATCAGAAAAAGGTTTCACAAATCACAGACATGGTTTTAAATATTCTTTTATTAGAGCAAAATACTCCAGTGCAGGTTTGAAGGGTCTAGGTGTTGTAGTTTGAGTCGATTAAAGATGCGGAAGGTAGTGAAAAATCAGGTGGAATCCCCCTTTAGCTATTGGAAACTAGAATTAGAAACCAACTTCAGCTTAGTAGTTTTGTGAAGTCCTCATGAATCTGTCTACACTTTAATACCTAGAAAATTGATCTCCCCCCACGGAAGTCTATGCATTTTTCCAATTCAGTTCCACAAACTTTTGTCATATTTCTTTTCAAAACATGAGGACAGAGGAAAAACCCTAAACCTTCAGGAGGATTAATTTTGTGTATTTATCTATGTTTTTCAATATTGCTTGTCTTTGCTCCGACATGTCAAACATTTTCGTTTCCGTTTTTTAAACAATTGGATGTTGACGTCACCAGCCGTTACCTCCTGTAATGTTATTACCGGTAATTATTTTAGCTTGCAGTGTTTGTTTTGTTAATTAAGGCAGTTTTTGTGTAGTAGAAGACAAAATAAGTAATCTGTATTTAAATACGAACAAACTGCTCATATTTTAAGTTTATTTAAAGTTAGCTTGCCCAGCTAGTATCTTAAATACTCCAGTCTAGCTAAAGATAAGTTAGTGCTAATTTCATGTCTTGTTCCCATCTAGAGAAAGTATTAATTCATGAAATTTTTTAGTAACAATAAATCCAATAGCACTAATACTACTTTATTCCAATATAAGGTAAGTAAGAAACATAATGTACCTTATTAAGTTAGCAGTACTGTTTTTGGTTTAAGTTTTCTGAAAGGCTAAGAGAAAAAGCCCAGTTTCAAAACGTTAATGGCCCCAAAATTTTAACCTGACTCAGAAACAGGATTGTTTAATTTTCTGTTTGCAACATTTACTTTTCTATATAATATTTTATTGCATATTGAATTAAAAGTACATCAATTAACAAACAACTTGGTATTAATTTCTTTCTCTCCATTATTATTTGACGGGGTGTACATAAGGCTGACACAACAGCATAATAAACATGACCTAGCACTTGTCATGAATA